TCAGAGTTAACAAGGCCAACAGGGACTGAGATAATCCCAAATGTTGAAACTGTGTCACTAAAACATGCTGTTGTCTTCACATAAAGGTTAAAAGAGTATCAAAGTTTGGGGTGGAAGTCTTAACTAAAAGAAATCTTAACTTAAGGTCAACTTACAAGCTTTTTCCAGAGCTTTCAACCACATGTCAGTCTTTTACTCAGCAGATGGAAGTTTGCTCAAACTCCCTCCACTGAGGAAGAACATGCAATGTAGTTAAAAGCTCCTAAGAAAGCTAGTAGGTGGACCTTGAGTTCAGACATTTTAGCCGATTAGCATGTGACTGCAGGATTATGTTGCTCTTGCCTTGTTGACATTTTGTTTATAGCTTCATACAGTATATAAGTGTCTTTGACGCCAGCAGGATACAGCCTATAGGCTAACCTGAGTAAATAAAGGTTCCTGCTTCATCTACTGTATTTGTAAGTGAATGCATATGCTACAAACAAGACAGAAATTAGTGTTCATTTAGGCTTGTACAACTTACGTAGAATTGATCTCCTGAAAACCAGCTGATACACGTGACAGCTCGGCCACTGATGATATAAGCTCTGATGTGTTGTGGTATTCCCATCAGCCACCACTGACATACTCAAAGACTTTTTAGACAACGTGTTTTTTTTATTGACTTGTGTAATAATAATCTGACATAAAAACAGCTTTGTGCAAATATGAACTAAAATCCACAGCTTAATGTGATTTGTGTTGCCTTCACACAAAGAGGTAGTGTGTGCACAGCTACAATCCCTACCATGTGCCGGATTAAAAAAGTGAGACAAGGAAACAAAAGATACTTCAACATCGGACTCATTGTTTTTCAAGCAGTGATCTTCCAATAAACTGTGATCAAACGTCTAATGGAGGACTAAGCCATTGTATCGTTTTCTGTCTTACTTAAGAGCATATGTGAACACACATTGTGTACTGGGTATACACATTAAACAATCCATAGTAAGGAGGTCAATGTATATGACAATTTGAAAGGTAAAACTTGATTATGCTTAAAAAATCACTGTAAAACCCGTTGAGGGAGAATGATAGTGTTTGTTGCTTTACTGTATTTTTGGCCCTAAGGTTCACTATCACTGTAAGAACTGCTACATATAGCTCTTTCTAAAAGTTAGAACAGTATTATAACAGTTCTTGGTGAGGTTAGTGGCATTAAAGACATTTTATAATTTGCTGTCTTATTGACAGCCATTGGCTTTGGGGTCATCCAGTTTTTGGTGATCCATAATCTTGATGTTCTTCTCAGCATTTTCAACATTCCTCAACAACATCTCCAGCCTCCGCTTGATCTTCTTCTGGTCCTCCAGAGCACAGCTGATCACTATGGCCTGAAACTTGTGGTCGATGGGGACGGGCGGGGCCTCGGTCACACAGGCCGCGTGCAAGGCCAGCAGCCGCTCCCGGCCGCTGTTCATGTCATCCAGTAACTTTTTCACCATTTCGTCGATTATGGATGTGGCTTTGCGCAGCGCGTCCTCCTGCTGGGGGTTTCTGATCGTGCCAACAGAGACCTCCACACACAGCGTACGGCCCATCAGACGGTTTGCAGTTAATTCTAACTCTTCTCTCTCTCCTAGAAAATAGAAAATGAAAAAGGAATCAATGATGCATCTTATGAGAACAAAATACACTGGAGTGGTGGACACAATAATAGGAACACCTATGCAGTCTACTGTAAGACATGCAGCGGACGTGAATGTGTTTGCACTAATGGATGGTGGATCCAGGCCAGATTTGATGCAGTGTAAACAGGATGGCCCTACAAATATGAAGCTTGTGAAGGAAATGTTTTAAAAACCCGTATCAGAAAGGTGTTAAAGCACTGGTTTGTGATGTTTAGGAGTTAGATTACATTATTGTAATTTTGTTTGCATGCAGCTGACAACAGAGAAAATACTATAATATTATATTGTAGCCTATTATTTGTTATTCTGCCACACAAATGCCCTACAATTCAATGAAATGTAGCAATTAACAACACAATCTACAGCCTCCATAAAACTGATATTACATTAAATAATAAATACATTATATTACTTCACAATAGTGGTATTTAAGGCATTGATACTACACTGGATTCTATACTAATAATAATACTTTTCCCAGTAGCTAGTAGTGTAACTAATTACTAATACATCTCAGTAATAATATTACAGTTGCTCCTCCAAAAAATAATTAGTCACAACATTACTTTTGTTGTCACCATCTACTGATTTGTAATCCAACAATCCCATCACATCCTTGGATTCATTTTTGTAATCGTAAACTAGTTTGGAAGATGGAAACGTTTACATTCAGCGGCTGGAAATATTCTGATTACTTTGATTTTAACAAACCAAACTGGATTTTAATCGTTGAAATGAAAATGTTGGGGAGAAGGGACACAATTACCAATTTTGTGGGGAGTGGGGAGTAGCAGAAAAGTAATATAACTAGTAGAGTAACTAATTACTGGCAGTAACTAACCCAACACTGATGTAAGGTGGACATACTTAATTTAGGAAATTGAGATCCATGTAATCCTATTTAATAGCTTAAATGTAATCACCCTTTGTGTTTAACCTGTAATAGCCAGAGGAACTAAACAAACTCTTACGAACTTGATTAAATGCAAGCTTGTATCTTCTCTTGGGTGGGGTGCAAAAATCTTTTCCCCGAGGTTCATGAACAACCACCACCCAAACTACAGCATAACCTCACTGGATCACAATGTTACAGAGAAATCAGTCAAAACAAGGTGGATCAGACTATAATATGATAGTTCCTCTCCCGGTGTGAAGTCCAGCTGTGGCAGTCAGCAGCCTTACCGGCACAGATGTTGCGCATTTCTTGTCCGTTCTGTATGGACTGAATCATTTCCAGGATGCACTCCCTTTCCTGCTCCATGGCCGATGCTGCTTCTCGTAAAGCCTCCACCCTGACAGAGACAACAATACCACAACCATCCGTTCACAGCCACATCCTCTCTCAGTGCAAAAGTAACGGGCTGGGACCGGACTAATACCTAGCAACCCACAGGTATATAGTGATCCTCCTATTAGGTTAAGATACCCATATATTTGAAATGAATTAGTTTTTTTCCCTTTTAGTTAGGATTACATGCAATGTGCTAAGGCTCTTCAGTCAGTTACCTCATGTTCACTGTATATACCGCACATGCTGAGGCCTGTTACTTAACTGTACCTCATTTCCAGCTGATCCAAACTTTCCAGGAGTCGTCCGGAGCGATCTGCCATTGACAGCGTCCTGCTGAACTTGGCGCAGGCACCCTCGCTCATTTTCGCCTGTATTTTCGCCTGAGCCATAGCTGTGTTGAATCAAGTGTTTGTTCAAGTGTCACTGTGGTCCGTGTCCGAGAGCAGTCCCCTTTCCCGTGTGCGATCGGCGCTGTGGGCTGTCCGGCGGACCGTACAGTGGATCCTCCCGTGGTGGCAGCGCCCCTGGGAGAACATTTCCAAACATGGGCTGCGACTTCCTTCACTCGGTGCTCGCAGAAGTTTCCCGAGGAGCCCAGAGCGAGTGGTTCTCAATGTATGGTGCGAGGACGCCCGAGAGGTCTCTGACTAACTCTAATTGCATCCACAGACACCTTACTGTAACTATTTTGTAACTTATTTGTTTGGTTAACAACTACCTGTAGGTGAGGTTTAGTAGATTTAAGTGTAAATAGGTCTAACAGCAGTACTCAGTTACAGTTTGGGGAGCCAAGGTTTAGAGTAGGGGTCACTATTGGAATTATATCATTTTTCATCATCATTATAATGTAACTGTATAAATTGCTGCTTTTTTTTAATAAAAATGTAAAAAGTGTGACAAAACTGCATTATAATAAAGTACTGTAGCTCTGGAGATCAAATACTGTTCTCCAGATTTAAGAAAACATGATTGTTTGGTACAGCCCCCCCCCCCCCCCCAAATACTCATATATTTTCTTTATTTTTCTTCAGTAAAATTTAAATTTGTAAATGCAAATCATTCCCACACTAATCGTGAATCATTTGCAATATCTGGCCATATAATTTCAATATGGTCTTTTCACCATATTGTGCAGCCCTAACTTAAGATGGCTGCTTTTTCATTTCAACTTGTTAATTTTTAACATAACTGGCAAATAAGATAAAAGACCAAAAAAACTGCTGTGAGGGCAAAGGCACTTGCATTGAGAGCAACATTATACAGAGATAGAAACTGTTGTGTGATTTATACGTGGACATGTAGCTATATATGCACCTGTTCAAATCTGTTTTGTAAATCAATGTCTCCACATCTAAATGAGAATTAAAGGGATTTCCTCGCCGCCCGGGGCAGAAAGAAGCTTACCCACAATCAATCTTAGAGGCAACTTGAGCACTGACATTGTAGTTAGATAGTAGCTGCCAAATCCTACAACCAGGAGAGTCCAATCCCAATTAAGTTGTTCCACCAGTGAATAAACACTCACTGTTTATCACCCGGGCTACCATCACAAACTAATTTAATATACAGGAGAGTTTTCCTCCATTATCTGATTGACCTATAATCAAACTTTAAATACAGATTATCTAATGGACAAGCGACTAAGAGGATGTTTTGGATTTTTGAAATACATGTATATACTAATTACAGAAGCAGCAAAACAAAATACATCTGAATGTCATTTTGCAGTGTGAATCCACTTTAAAAGGATTCTCACCCACTAATGATTTTGAAGACAACATGAGGAAACTAACATAAAACTGTGACTTTTCTACATAAAAAAGGATGGCCCTACCCCTTACAGTGCATACAATACGCTGAATTTCAAGCCAGCGATGAAAGCAGAGACAGCAATTGGAGATACTGTTGGCACTGTGGTCACAAGTTCAGCTCCGACATTTTTGCAGTGTCATCGAAGCCATCTATAGCACATATGTCGACACAACAAATTATTGAGTCTTCACAACAGAGGACTGTGTATAAATCTACAGCTACAAAGCAACCTTCCAAAACACTGGATCTGCCAACTGCAGTAGTATTTGGGCGAGTCCCTGTAATGGGAATGCCCTATATTGATTTTATTATGTAATTATAAATTGAATAAAAACAAAGAAAAAGTGAAACAGCAACTAACATTTATTTAACATAATCTGAACAGACATATCTGATACAAAACATCTCGATATAATGTCTGATCATTGTGTCACAAGAAAACAAATCTCATCACATCCTTAAAACTCCAGAAGACTTCTTTTGAGAGCTTCTTCCAACTCTGTAAAAAAGAAAAAAACATAATATAAGGATCCAAGTTGGCAACACCATTGTTAACCATGCTGGGACAAATCTATAGTGGTATTATATATTACATATCTTTTAATGAAATAGTTTTTAGTATTAAATATTGTGCTTTTAATGGGACACTGAACAGTTATAAAGACGGCCCCACTGCTAAGGCAAACATACAGAGGCTGTTTATCAGATTAAATCCTCTGCAGTAAAATGTCATCAGTCAGTAACAAGTACGCAACTCAGCAAAGACAGAACAATGTAACAGAGGTCGTAGCTACTGGAACAAATGTATAATATTCACAATTCAGTCGTAGCCTGAAGGCTGCGATGTGTTTTTAACTTTTCTGACGGTGAAACACGCTCAGCCACATTAACACATACCTGCTGACTCTCTTGCCTCTTCTGTGCTCACAGACATCTCCTCGTCAGATTCATCTGTAACAGAATACACCAAGAATTAGCATCTGGTACTTAAAGACAACCAAACACCATTACTGT